ATATTGCTTGGTATACATTGCTTGGTTTCCTTGCACAGATAAGGCATTTGATTGAATTCAATTTGATTAAGGAGTTAAGACATCTCTTTTATGCTTAGAATAATCTCTCTGCTTCTACCCATCAAATTACGTATCTCCCTTTCATTAAATTACACTGGAAGACTATTTTGGGCTCGTCCTAGATTAACTTTGCATGTATCGTTCTTTCTAGGACAGACTTCATTTTTGCAGTACCCTCTACACTCTATGTTGGTGATAGATTTTACAGTATTTGTGTCTAAATTAACACATCTTTATTAATTAGCACAACTTTGTTGATTAGCACAACGTTTCCCAAATTTAAGTTCCTTGAGGAAAGCAAAGAATTTTTGGAGTTTTGGGTTGTTTGGCAGCTTTCTAACTAGTCTTTGCAAAAATTTCTGCTGCTTACTGACTTCCTTTGCTAACGCCTGTAAGAAAGCAGGGGTGGTGGTGGGGAGTTCCTTCTACAAATATCTTGATGTTGACAGGCAGAAATCTTTAACATCATTTCAACCACAGTATTATCATATTAGAGGTTTAAGACTTGGTTTCAGTAGACCAAACTATATGTAGTTTATATTATTTTTCTTGGTGGGAATAAAATGTCAATTTATCAGAACCTCTGATGGATTACTTTGGGTAGTAAAAATGTATTCCTGGAATTGTGGGTTTGCAGTGTGGATTTTTATTGCACTGTGTCAACATTCAAGTTCATAATCTATAGAATTTATAACATTCACTCTTATGGGTAGTGACCGTTAGTGTACCCAAAAGCTATTGAATTAAGAATTTTCATTGAAGAGATTTTTAATCTAGTTGGGGCTTGTGGGATAGTCTTGAAATAATCAATGAATAGTATAAAGCTTGTTAGACTAAGCACAGTAAGAGTAATATGGGAAGATACATGAAAGTAATGCAAGAGAATAAATTCAGATAATTTTTAGTTCTCTTTGAGTGCTTCTATCACCATCCCTCACTTTTGAAATTCTTTCTACCTTTGTCTTCTATGGCATTTTATAAACTCAGCTAATATTTGTCATATGAATATTCACTAGAGTATAATTAAATCCTCACAAATATCTGCAAATTTGGAATTATTTTCCCATTTTTAGATGGAGACATTGAGCATAAGTTACATAACTTACTTGGTTTCACCCAGGAAATGAGGAATAGAATTGGGATTTAATTCTAAGATTCTTCAGTTCTTGCTCTTGTACATTTCTGTCAATAAATTTTCATTCTGACATTATCTATTTATTGGCATTTTTGAAAGGTTCAAACTTGGTTCCTGACTATTCTGGCTTGAAACAGATGTCCTTGAAACAATTTTCCAATGTAATCCCCTTTGTTTGTTTACTTTGGTTATTTATATTCTACATATGAGACAATTGTCTCTCACTTTCTTTTTTTTTTTTTTTTTTAAATTTTTTTTTTAAGATTTATTTATTTATTTATACACACAAGCACTGGGTACAGTCAGAAGCGCGGGAGGGTGAGAGAATTCACCAGAGCCAGAGCGGGGAGCAGAGCAGGCAGAAGGACCGAAGTACACTGCTGAGGGGAGCAGCGGGCGGCAGGAGAGGTCTGCGCGCCATGTGGGACCCTCCTCCGGTGGCCGGGGAGCAGCTGGGGATGGAACCAGCGCCGCAGAGGCTGAGGGCAGCTTCGCAACCCAGCGCCCAAAAGCTGCGCCACCGGGGAGGCCCTTGTCTCTCACTTTCTGACTTATTTCGCTGTGTGCTGCTCCTTATTAAAACTGGGATTCCTATAATAGATAGGGCTGGGTTCAGGGTGTTTTGTTGTCTGTAAATCTTCCTAGGGCCCATAATATTCCACAGAGAGAGAGAGAGAGAGAAAGAGAGAGAGCGAAAGAGAGAGAGAGTGTGTGTGTGTGTAAGATTTACTTAAACTGTGTGTGTGTGTATGTATATATATAAGATTTACTTAAACTATGTGTCTGTGTGTGTATACACACAGACACATAGTTTAAGTTCAACATAAATATAAGAAAGTCATTTTCAGAAATTCAAGTTTTGGAACTACATCAATACTGCACAAGTGGAAAAAGTAATTATTTTTTTAAGCTCTCTATTGTACTGGAATAAGACTTTGGGTAACATGGCTTTAGAGAAGCCCTGCTTAAGATGCTTTTGGAATTGAGGTTGCCATGGCAACTATCTCTGAAGTAATAAAATTCCCCTAGCGCTTTTAGAGATTCCTCCCCCAACCCCCATGTCTTTTTTGCACTTGGATCTGAAGGAAAACTTATTTTAATGAATTGTTTCTTTTTTCTCATTTGTAACTTTTGCACAGTGGGTTGAGAATTAGGGATGAGATTCACTAGAATTGCCCTGGAATGTGGACAATTCCAAGTGTAAATCAAAAAGAGAGGCACCATCACTGCTGAGTCTTAAGCAATGATGAACAAGCCCATGCAATGTATGTTTATTTACTCATTGGTATACAAAGGTCTGCATGCAGTGGTTTTTGTTGGACTTATCTGGTAGAAGATGATTTCTGCCTTTGTGTTTTCATTTCTTAACTTCTATGATAGAACTTCTGCCATTATCCCAGGATCCTAAAACAATGCAATCTACTAGTGCACCAGAGCTCCAATTTCTCCAAATTGAGAGATTCATTTCTTGGCCATGAAATGTCATTCTTTATGAAAGCCCCTGGTACAAGTTTACACACAACATTTAGTTAAACCATATATGAGTGAAACTCCTTCCAGAAAACTGTTTTGACAATATGTGCAGCTTACTGCTGCCAGGATGAGGACTGGGGTCAAAATTGGGAGCTGTCATCAACATATATTATCTTTTGTTTGCTTAAGAAGCCCACCATGGTTCCTGACCTTGTGAATTTGGTTTTGGACCAATCAGGATTTGACTTAAAATTCTGGAATCTCTGTGTGCGCCTCACTTTAAAAGTGGAGATGATAGAGATGTGGGAACGCAAACAACGGTGTAAACCTGTATCAACTCAATAAAAATAGTAATAAAATAAAGTAAAATTGCAGAATAGCTTACTATAATTCAGGCAGTTAAGACAAATCATGACTGGATTCACCTAATTAATCTTTGTGACTTAGTTCACCTTATTTGCCATATACTATGTCAGTAAATTTGATTTCATCATTTGATACCTGCATTGGTTTAAAACTTGACCCAATGGAAAGAGCATTTTAGATATTAGCAACAGAACAGAACTTCATTTGTGGCAATGATTCAATTAATAGTATGCTGTTCACTGGTGCCCTCAAAAAATATAATTAATTACATTTTCACATTCTGTATATAGACTTTTTTTTTTTTTTAAAGATTTATTTATTTATACAAGCACTGGGTACAGTCAGAAGCGCGGGAGGGTGAGAGAATTCACCAGAGCCAGAGCGGGGAGCAGAACAGGCAGAAGGACCGAAGTACACCACTTAGGGGAGCAGCAGGCAGCAGAAGAGGTTTGTGCGCTATGTGGGACCCTCACCGGCGGCCGGGGATCGAACCGGTGCTGCAGAGGCTGTGGCAGCTTTGCAGCCTAGTGCTCAACAGCTGTGCCACTGGGGAGACCCTGTATATAGACTTTTATGAGTTCTTCAAATTAATCTTTTTCTAAAAACAATGAAACTGGAGATTAATAGATCTAATCTCAAAGGTTAATGGGAGGAATGAGGTAAAACTGTACATTGTTTTGGCTCTGCATCTGAGCTGCTGTGGTAGCAGACATTTTTGGTGCACAGAGCTGAATACGAGGTAACAAGTATTGTTTTTCCCACAGGGGCTTGCTCTCAACTGTGCTTAAAAATATGTAACCGGTATGAAAGACTAGCTCATTAAAAACCATGTGAAGCCTTATTAAGGGCATAAACAAGCATTTCTTCTTCCATAGGGAAGGAGGTCTCTGGGGCAAAGTCTCCTAGGGAATCTCTGTAACTAGCTCACTGAGATGTGTCATCTGGAATAAAATTCTTTAGACCCCAGTTATCCATGGGTGTTAGGAAGGATCCATTTTCATCCCTGGACGTTGGACAGGAGGCTGAAGAGAAAACCACTAGTGGAGATGATGTTCTTCAGCCCAGCAAGAAATCCAAGATAAGCTAGAGGTTTTGATTCAAAGGCGAAGAAACAAAAACAGAGGGGGCCTGAGCTTCAAGTTCACTTTCTTTTCACCAGGGCTATGTGAGTCTCCAGGGAAAATGATGAGTCACAGTCAGTAGAATACAGGCCTGTGCCTCCCAGCCAAAGGAGGGCGAGTGCTTGCCTGACCCTGTCTGTCCTCTAATTGTGGTTAAAAGCTCAACGTCATCATCTACAGAGTTTGCTTTCTGCTGCCATTTAAACTTTGGGATTTGTGCAATTAGACCCAGTGTCCTCGTCCTCTTCTTTCAAGTAGGGATAACCATAATGCTACGAGCATTCTGAATAGTGCCTTTTCCGTAGTTAGTGCTCATTAGTGGTTTCTTCTTTCTTATATTTAATGAATTTTGCTGTGTAACTCCATTATTATTATTATTATTATTATTACATCTGAATCCCACAGTCATTCCAGCTACAGACTGGGTAACATGACCTCGCCTCCCTGCTGTGTTTAGTGCTGGCTCCCAGATGGAAGGTCTAGGCAGTGTCAAATGACTTCCACCTCTCAAGAATCACCCCAAAAGAGGGTCTCAGGGCTTCCAGCCATGGTCTAGGGTGTAGGAGGAAGGAGTACACAGAGGAGGGTCACAGTGAAGGGCGGAGGGTCATCCAGCTGAACCTAGTGGACTCTCCTCCATGGGACCAGGCCTTGCTGTGGCGGTAAATTTCACCCACAGTCACTAGGATGGCTTCAGGCACTTGGGGACCATGAAAATAGACACAGGTATGTGGAAATACGAGTATTTTGAAGTTCAAAAATCTTTCTGTTCAAATGCCATTCTTAAGAATGTTTATGCTCTTTCATTGAGCAAATCTTGTCTTTCTCCTCAGCCCAGACCCTCCTAGAGGAGAATGGCTGCCGCTAACATCTCTTCTGTGACGGAGTTTATCCTCGCAGGCTTAACCGACCAGCTGAGTCTCCAGCTCCCCCTCTTCTTCCTGTTTCTAGGTTTCTACGTGCTCACCATGGTGGGGAACCTGGGCTTGATCACCCTGATTGGACTGAACTCTCACCTTCATATCCCCATGTACTTTTTCCTCTTGAACCTGTCCTTCATAGATTTCAGTTACTCGACTGCCATCATCCCCAAAATGCTGATGAGCTTTGTCTTAAAGAAGAACAGCATCTCCTATGCAGGGTGTATGACTCAGCTCTTCTTCTTTTGTTTTTTTGTTTTTTCTGAGTCCTTCATCCTGTCAGCGATGACGTATGACCGCTATGTTGCCATCTGTAAACCACTGATGTACACAGTCACCATGTCCCCTCAAGTGTGTTTGTACCTTTGGTTGGGTGTCTACGGCATGGGAGTTTTTGGGGCTTTTGCCCATACAGGAAATATGTTGATTCTGACCTTTTGTGCTGACAACCTTATCAATCACTATATGTGTGACATCCTTCCCCTTCTTGAACTCTCCTGCAACAGCTCTTACATAAATATACTAGTGGTCTTTATTGTTGTGACTATTGGCATTGGGGTGCCCATTGTTGCCATCTTTATCTCTTATGGTTTCATTATCTGCAGCATTTTCCGTATCAGCTCCAATGAAGGAAGGTCCAAAGCCTTTAGTACTTGCAGTTCCCATATAATTGCAGTTTCTCTTTTCTTTGGGTCAGGAGCTTTCATGTACCTCAAACCTCCTTCTATTTTACCCCTTGACCAGGGTAAAGTGTCTTCCCTGTTCTATACCATTGTGGTACCCATGTTCAACCCATTAATCTATAGCCTGAGGAATAAGGATGTCAAATTTGCTTTGAAGAAAACCTTGGGCAGAATATCCATCTCTTGAAAAAATATTAGAGATTGGAAAAAAAATATACTTTTTTACTAGCGAAGATGATGATTTTAATGAGGAAACCAAGCTTCATGCTTGCTTTCTGTGCTATATACAGAGGAATTTTAACTCTTCCCCCAAATGGATTTATTTCCCTTCACCCTGCATGCATCCTTGCTTATTTTATGAAAATTGTTTCTACAATTACAGAATATTCAATATTGAACAGGATCTAAAAATCATTTAATCCCATGCTTTTATGTTAGATTTCATATTTTGGTGACTCAAATTTTTTTGTGTTGTGCAAGGACATAAAGCTACCTAGTACCAGAGATGGGACCGTAATCACAGTTTGAATCCCAATCCAGTTTGTTTTTCTTTGTGCCGTGTTTTCTTGCCTCTTTTCTTTCTTGGAAGATTTCATTTCACATGTTAGTTGACCTGGCACATTTAAACTGTGAATATATTCACAGTAATTTCATGCTACTTTTCACAGGATAATTTTAATATATAGCATTTTGCAAGAGAGTAGGAGGTGAAACATTTTGTTGAGTTGGTCTTGGAAAAATGACAAGATCAGTGTTTGATGAATTTTGTAGTGTGTAAGTGGGGTGTATGTTAGCTTTCAGCTAGAGGCAAGTGTGGGGACCACTGACGTGGTGGGTGGAGCTATAGGGACATAGTTTAGTGAATTAGAACTTCTCTGGGAGAGAAATGTAATTTATGGGGTATAAAGTTGTTGGGTAGAGGTGGCATATATTATTTTGAGACTGACAAAGATAGAATTTGGAAACTCATTTCAAGGGTTGCTGTGGTTATGGACCAAGTTAATTGAGAATAGTACTATCTGATGTGGTAGCCACTAATCATGTGTGGCACTGAGCACTTGAAATGTGGACATCCAAATCAAGACATACTATAAGTGTGCAATGTAAGTGTAAAATACACACCTGATCTTTGAAGAATTAATATGGAAAAATAATGTAATATATTTCATTGGTAACTTTTGAAACACTGACTACTTGTTGGAGTGATAACATTTTGGATATATATAATGAATAAAATATCAACTGAAGTGAATTTTTATGTGTAGTTTTTTTAATATATGTACTAGAAAGTTTAAACATGTATGTAGCTTGCATTATATTGCTACTGGGTGACACTGGTGTGGTGTGGAGAACGTAACAGAATACTAGATGGTTGTGAGTACACATCATTATTGGCCAGAACCAAGCTGCTGTTTATTAAGAGTCAACTGCTACTGAATTTTCAAAAACGCAGATAGTCATGATATTCTAATAATGGGGCATATGGGAAAGGGGTGGTGATTTCAGGATAAGTTCATAAATCCACAATATCGTGTACTAAGTATAACTTTAAAAAATCAGAAGAACAATTTTTGCTCTATACTCACCATTAATGGTAACAGTTCTTTGAGAAGTAATGATAGGTGAAGTGCTGGGGAAATATTTTGACTTATAGAATTTTAATTAGGAAAGTTTCTCTTCTATTAGAAGATACAAGCTGGGATAAATGTTTAATTTTACCTTTTGATTCCTTTCCTTGTTGTTAGAATGGAAAGAATAAACTTAAAGGGAGGATTGTATTTTAGATGATATTAAATAGAACCCTGAATTCAGGAATGAAGAGTTCAGGAATAGAGTTGGTATACTAGGTATGTAGTACAGTGTAGGTGATGAAAGAAATAGAAATCTTTTTTTCTTTATTGAACTTATTTAAAACATGTTGTAATCATTCATAAGTATATAGTTCATTGAAGTTTGAGGTGCCTGATGTGGTTCGTTAATCCCTTATTCCTCTGGGAGAACCCAGTAGCCTGGGATTTGGGGTTCCTTGCTGGGTTCTTTTTCTCTCCTACCCATTTTGGTGTGGTCTCTTGCCCCTCATTGTAGAGAAATTGATCAGTTCATTCTCAGATCATTTCCACAAGGAATTGTTCATATCTGAGTGTACTTGGTGTCTATGGGAGGATGTTAGCCCAGGATCTTTCTGCTCCACCATCTTGTCTTGTGTCCTATTTTTCTATCTTGATGCCAGTTACCACTCAGTTTTGCTTACTGTAGACTAACATTAATTCTTGATATCAGCATGTTTTTCACCATCATTCACTTTTTAAAAGTTTTTGTTCTTTTACATCTTTTGAATTTCCATATGAACTTTAGAATAGGACTGCCTACTTACCTATAGTCTCTCCAAAGTAGTATAGTCTCAAATTTTTAAATTTTCCAATCTGATAGGTAAGAAACAGTCTTATAGTATTGTTATAATTTGCATTTCTCTATAAAGAAGATGGGGATGTTTTCATGTAACTGATGGCTATTGGTATTATTTTTTATATAGACTTTCACCAGTTTTCTCTTAGATTTTGATGTTCCCAATTTTTAAGGGAATTTTTATTTATCTTAGGTATAGATTGTATATTTTTTGACTTTTGATTTTCCTTAAACTTTTGTTGTTTCTGGATTTTAACCATGGATAGAAATGTTTTCTTCTTCAGTTATGAAGAAATTCACTCATTTTTTTCATAATGTTTGTATAATTTCATTTTTTCACATTTGAATGTATGATCTTTTTAGAAATTGTACCAGTGTATGGTGTGAGGAATGGATCCAACTCTATCTTTTTCCATATGGCTATCCAGTTGTTTTAGCACTATCCAGTTGTTTTAGAACAAAAACTTTTAAAAAGTGAATGATGGTGAAAAACATGCTGATATCAAGAATTAATGTTAGTCTACAGTATGTAATGAAGGCAGCAGCTCCAATCAGAAGCTTCATAGTTACTTGTGCTATTTCTGTGCTTTTCATTCTGTTCTATTGGTCTGTCAGTCTACTTGAAAGCCAGTTACACACTACTGTAACTAGAAGGGCTTCATAATATTTTCATGTCTTGAAGATAACTTCCCACATGTTGTTGTCTATTATTAGTTTTGAGGATTTTCTTGGCTATTCATGTTTAATGATAACCTATATAATTTATCTAGTTTCATAAAAAATAATAGCTTATTTACTGATTGCATCTTAAATTTATAGGCATGTTTAGGGAGAATTGACATCTTTGGCTCTTCAATCAGGAAGTATGAAATTATATTTTTTCAGTTCTACTTCAGTATCTTTTAGGAGTGTCTCTTAATTTTCCTGATCTATTTTGCACTGTAATAAGGGTTTTAGCTTTCATTCTATCTTCTGATTATAATATATATGAATTCTATTGAATTCTGTGTTTTTGTGCTTTGTATTATAGTTATTATCTGCACAAGTTTTTTTCATGGGTTATTTTAGGCCTTTGAAATATGTAATAAAATTTCTGAAAGTAGAGATAATTTTACCTGTTTCCTTTTGATTCTGATGCCTCTTTCTTATTCCTTTCCCCTTTACAATTGCATTTTCTAATATATTGGAGTGTTACAATGTTAAGCAATATCGGAGACTAGGTATCCTGGTTTTACTTGTGGTTCTAATTAAGACTGCATTTAGAATTTTCAAATTAAGTTGCTGGCTTTTGGTCTGAGATTTATTTATTTTATCCTCTTAAAAAAGTCTCTATCATTCCTTGTTTCAGAGAAGTATTTTAAAAGCAAGAATGCACACTGAATTTTTATTATCTTCTTTTCATCTTCTTTGATATTTTCTTCCCTCAAAAATTTCTTTTCTCTTAGATCTTTAATATCTCTTTCTCTACAGACACTTCTCCCTCTAAATATATGCAAACCTGCTGTATCCTTAAAATTCCCTACAATACACCCTCTTTTCCCCATTTTTCTGTCCCCAGTTAGGAAGAGTGACTAGTGCTTCTCCACATTCAGTTTCATGCTATCTATTTTTTTTTTTCAGTATCTTATCACATACACAATCTCTTGCTTATATTTCTCTTTGTACCCCAGTGTTAGAGTGTAACACTCCTGTTTTGATGCATTTGTATATCAAAATCTGATTTTCCCTTGTTGGGGGGCACTCCATGTCAGATTTATGGAGCGTTCTTAAGCCCTAGGTTCAACACTTGTTAATACTCCTTGATTAATGTTCTGAGATTTAGGAATGAGGCCATCAGATGGATAGAAAACCTTGGTCTGAGCTGAATTTGAAGAAGTTATGCCTATTCTGGTTTTTCAATGGGTATGAAGTTTCAGTTACATAAAATGAATAAGCTCTAGAGATCTGCTGTGCAGCACAGCACCTCTAGTTAACAATGCTGACTTGTACACTTTCAAAAATTTAAGAGGACCTATCCCATGGTAAATAACCTTGCCACACACAAAAAAACCAAAATAAGACACAGAAACAAGGCACATAACATAAAATCCCACTATATTCTATGTCGTATTTATGAGAAAATATACAGCATTATTCAAGGAAGTAAATTTTAGAAAAACTTGCACCGTCATTCAAATAACCAATTCAAATGTTGGAGAGGAAACTTTTTACAGCAACTGGGGATAATTTAATATCTATCTTCTTTTTCAAATGCAGAAATTATAGAATTATGGAATAATTATTGAATACAAAAAATGAAAAATTCATATAGTGAACTTCTGCCTTCGCCAAGATAATAGAGAATATGTACTTTGATTCTTGGCCTCCCAAAGTGAGGTATCTTTAGAAAAATGTCACCATGGTTATGTGTGATTCTTCCCTGCTGTCTTACACGGCACATTACTGCTCTGTGAGAGCCAATGGCAGCACAGCATTTACTTCTCTTTTTTCCGGCATGCACAGGTTTTAAGCCCTTTTGGAGCAACTTCCACTGTTAATTGGTAACACAGAGACTCCAGTAGTTTTGAAGTTTTCTAAATACTTTTACTGAAAAAAAGATAATGTGATGAGGGTCTTTGCCATGTTTGTTGAGCATTTTAGGACCCTAACCAGTTGCTGGGACCACTATTACTGAAATTTGTCACTGTCAAGAGTAAACCTAGAGACTCCCCCCTGGGGCTAACCGCGCACCCCACCCATGACTCCAGAAAGAGAGGCTCTGGTTTCTACCCCTGGGATAAA